TATGATTTAAGAAGAGCTATGTTTTAAATGCAATGATATATTATTATTCGCATCGTATTTTAATAGTTTTTTTTTCATATATATTAACTTTTTGTGTGCATTTCTATTCGCATTACAAGTTATTACATTGAAAGAAAGACAAAAAGTACTATAAAGAATGATCACTCTTCAAGATGCTGCACATCAATTATGGTCATACTATCTGCTCTTCAGTATATTTTCTTCCATTGAAATTAGTTTTATTCGAAGGATCATTTCTTTCTTTCGTTATTTCACATGAATCAATGTGATTCTACGACAAAAAAAAACGCGTATAAATAAGAAAGTACATCGGCTTTTTCTTGTTTTTGAAAAAAATAAAATCAACATATTTTTGATATGCTAGATCTGGTAATATTTATTCCAATAATCAAATACTTACTACGTATTTTTACAAAGGTAATTGAAGATTATTTGTTTCTGACTGATAGTTCAATACGTCTTCCCATTATTATGCAAAAACAGTGATTCAGAATTTATTTTAAGCAGGAAATAACAACGGTTTCTTCAAAGTGTTTTCATAAGTTTGTTTTCGAATGTTCTGTCATTATTCTAAACTGAGGGTGTAGGTGTAGAATGAATACAATACCCACACCTACACCCTTCACATTTTACATGTACGATTGTTTTTTAGGAAAAAAGTCGAATTCTAATCAACTCCACTGTTTATTATTGATTGTTATATGGCATTTTTACGGAAGGATTTCTTCAAAGCAGTCACTCTCGTAATCATAACATGTGTGACATTCGGTTTCATGATAGGCATCCACCGAATTTCTTTCAACCATACAACATTCTCTCGCTTTCAAAACAATCCTGCTCAAGTTCGTGTCCTTTGTTTAGTTCTTACCGCACCAAAATATTTTGATACTCGAACACGAGCAGTACAGTCTACTTGGGGTCGACGATGCGATGGTCTATTTTTTATCACAGAATCATCGAATAATACTCAAGGCTTACCTATAGCACCGATTGCCAATATTACACCTGGCTACGAGCATTTAACGCAAAAAGTCGTTTTAGCGTTACAATATGCATATGAATATCACTTCAATAACTTCGATTGGTTCGTCAAAGCTGATGATGATACTTATATTTTTATGGAAAATATGAAGACATTTTTGAGCAAACAGAACACCTCTAAACCGGTCTCATTCGGATGGGTTTCGAAGGTATGTATTTTGATAATTCAGTATTTTTATGAAATTAATTCATCAGTCTTTATAATTTATCAATGTTTTTTTTGTTAGATTAAATGTGAGAACAGTCAAATGGGAATCACATTTGATCATTTAAATACATTTTTCTAAATGTCTGTTTGCTAGATTAAAGGCTATCTCCAGGGCGGTGCTTCCTATGTATTAAGTCGAGAAGCACTGAAACGTTTCAATCAAGGTCATCAAAAACCTAATACAATGTGTCGCAAATATGAAGGTGATGAAGATATCGAAATTCGTGCATGTCTTCGTAGTGAAGGTGTGTACATGGGCAACTCGCGCGATGAAAAAAATCGTGAACGCTTTCACCCTCTAAACTTCTATAGTCATTTCGTCGGTCCTATACCAGAATGGTATAAGCAGAGAGCAGCACGTTGGCCTGTAACTGTGAGTATACTTTTTTTTTCGTTTTTTAACAATAAAGTTAATTGATCGTTTTCAAAGAGTTACGAATGCTGCAGTGCAGATGTAATATCATTCCACTACGTTCCTTGGAATGAACAATATTTAATTGACTCAATGTGGTATCGATTTGGAAGTGCAAGATAAAAGTACATAAGGCTGCAGGTGTGGATACTACATAGACTATACTTAAATCTATACCGACACCCACATCCACCTTGAAGGTAGCTATTTCAATTTTTATTATCAAATAACTGGTTCAAAAGTATTTATCTATAAAATTGTTTCAAAATCATTTTCGTTTGTTGCAATTATTGTAATGGTTTGTATGGCAATACCAGTTGCCCTAATGGTTATATTAAAATATTTTTTTATAGTATAAAATTATGAGTAATCTATTACGATATATATTTTGCTGTAAATTTTATTTAAAAGATTTTAGTAAAATAAAAGTTTCCGCTGCTCTTAACAGTTCAATGCAGTCGAAAAATAATTTCTCTTCTAGATTTCTGGATTCTTCTCGATAGAAAAAAACTCGAAATATGATAATGTTTAATTGTAGATCTTTTTAACTATTAATTCGTACCAAGAGAGAATGGGTTCTTCTGTTGTGTTTTGTATATTGAATCTTACAGAGAAGCTCACATATATCAGATATGAGTTTGATCAGCATTATGATTGTGTTTATATTGCCTTGTTTCCTTCCTTAGAAAAACGTCTCTATCAGATGTAAAATACTATTGTTTCATAAAATTTAGTTGCGCTTGTCATATTTTTAGCGTCAATCTTCATCAACTATCTAAACCATAACGGTAGTAATATATGTTTCTGGAATTCTACTGCGGACGTACTTGTTCCATCATATGATTGTAGTTAGATACTAGAAGCAACATATACATAGATTTTACAAATGCTAGCTGTGCTCTAGTTGCATCAAGGTTTACTAAGTACTTTTTATTATGTCACATTTGATAGTGATACATTTAATCTTGTTTCTCTAGCATTTCATATTCCATTAATGCCTTGTTACTTATTACTGAAGATGGTGTAAACGAATTAGACTTTTATCTTAAGTAATTTCACAGTGAATAAAAAAGTGATACAAACTAAATAGTAAATTATGACAATGTTCTCCTTCTTCTTTTTTAACTTTTATTCTTTCCGTGAAAATACGGGAAGAAAAGCCGATTTCCATTCTTGAAACAATAACCTCCCCTTGAATATTCAACCGATCAAAAAAAAGGCTAGATGGGATACGAACAGATTCTTATGCAAAATCAGCTGCACTCCGACGTTTCCACCACTATTCTGTAACTTTTTATTCTCGAAACAATTGTAACACACAATGGCAACCATCTGTTTCATTTCTCAGTCGTCTATACCACATGCTTAATTATTTTGTTGAGAAACAAATCTTTGTCTTTAAATCGAACAGTATTATAAAGATTTTTTTTGAAATATACTGATTCCCACTTGTTCATATTCGAGTTCATTGTAAAGAAAAGAATATATATTATATTTTCCGTGTTACACACAAACATAAGAGATTTATTCTAGTAAAAATTAAAATAACTACATAAGAAAAATAAGAAACGTAATTAAAAGATAAACAAATAATGAGAATGAAATAGAATTAGTTCCATGACTAAGAGAAAATGGATAAAAGAAATCTCCTACTAAACGTGTATTAGGTCGAGGTATATGATCTCCTTCCGTAGCAGGTGCATTTGATATATCTTGAAATGTAATTGTATGAGTAAATAATAATGGTGCAGGTAATGTTGTTGTAGTATTTAGATTCTATAGTTAGAAAATAAATACATAAAATAGATGATGTATACATTTTTTACTTACAACACTTTGATAATGAAATATAACTGCACCTAAGATCGGTTGTGGATTAGTAACAGCACCAATATTAGCGTAAGCTATTTGAATATCTAATCTTGTATAACATGAACTTGGAGATATATTTGGCATAGAACCATTTTGGCATACAGCTCCACTGGAAGATCCAATTTGAGATGTACAAAATATAATAGGTAGCCAATTATCAGAAAGATTTGATGGATCTGAATTGCCACGAGCAGCGATAGAAATGTTAAAAGAACTGAAGGCCCAAAATACAGTTGTCGGATCGGTAACATTCGGACAGATTAAAGTACTGTTTGATCTATGAATATCATACAAATTATAAATTTTCTTTTAATAGAAATATATATATATTCTTAGTACTAAACTTTTAAACTTCAATAAAATTTTTGTATTATTTACTGTGAAGTTTTGTATTTCAGATTATTGTATAACGATTGATAGAATACATTGTACATCAATTTTAATCGAGACAATTGACATGCAAAAACGTTTGCAATATAAATATAAAAATTACATCAAGTCTTCAGTAATAGTTATTCTTCAGTAAAAACTAATTTTTTCATAATATATTGACGAGCCCAATAGTTAGTACTGTTATCAAAGGATATTAGAATCTAAAAATTGTATATTTGAAGAACTCTAGTTAGCTTTGATAGCGAAGTATATGCTGATGAAATTACTCAAGCACATATAACAACTTCTACTGCTAATGTAATAGAACGAAAGATGTGTTTTCGGAGCGGTCTATATAATAAACTAACATTATTGAACATGTTGGGCATATAGAAAAGATTCGAAGACAAAGGTATTTTAACCAACTAAATCTGAGTTTGAATGCAAAACTATCGGATCGAATGAGATTTATTCCACGAAGCAAAATCGTACTACTTGACCTACATCATAGATTCATACATCGAGCTAAGCGTTCTTAACATCTAAATCTTTCTTACAGCACTACCAATCTACTATTGTAGTTTATGAGATTTTCAAAAAAACAAATCATAGCCTATTATACTCGAAATCCTTGTAAAACTAAAGAATAAGACTATATAGTTTACCCAAATAGACATGTTGATTGGATATTTTGTCCAAAACGAATCGTTGTACGAGCTGTACTAGAACAAGTTCCATCTGTTGATGATGCCTGAGGAATACTCAAAGCTGATGTACTTTAGAAAAGAAAAACATATTTTCGTTTGCTTTATAAAAATAAATATAATTTAGTTCTCACGTATAACTAGATCCATTCGAAGTACGTGCTATAACAGGAGCTCCTTGAAAATAACCTGGATTTCCACTTCGAGTTGTGCTTGAATTTGATGATCCAATCTGATATAGAATAGTTTAAAAAATATTGTTATTTACAAATCTATTCTGATAATTTTTACTTCAATAAAAGTAACAGATGTTGTTTGCGATATTGGGGTGCTTGAACTGGCAATAGTAGTCAAACCAATAGTACAATTCATTATTCCAGTTGGATTTGAATAATAAATTTTGATATCTAACTAAAATATCATAGAAATAATAAATTTTAATATGTATTGTGAAGATCTTACAGTTGCAAGTGCATTAGTACATGCAGGCGAAGCATAAGTTGTAGTAACACTTGAATTCGCGCTACAGCAAATGTAAGTGGGAGGAGTATCTAATTAAAATAAAAATCAAGATAGATATATAAAATAAAACGAACAAATAAATACTGATGAGCGTCGATGGATTCTAGAAAAAGTAGAAAAAAATTATCAAATACATATATATATATATATGTTATTTATATACCGTAATTAAACAAAAATTACCATATTTCATAGCATCAAGTCCGTTGAGACATGTTGGTTGAGTTATTGGCTGAGTACAAGTTGATACAAAATTATTCAAATATGCTAAGCGAATAAAAAATACGCGATAAATTGAAGATAAACAATAATCATACGTACTTATGGGTTGAAATCCCGAGCATGTTTGACTATTGAAAATTTTTATTGGAAGTGAATAATAACTTGTCGTACTACTTCCTGGTATGAATCGGAATACTGAAGTACCTAACTATAATATTCAGAATGAAAATATTTTTTCTTATTTTAACTTATAGATAGCTATTCAACTATGACATAAAAAATTTAACATGAGAGAATAGTGAATGCTCATCGAATACAATGTACGAAGAATTATTGTGTCGTAGAATCTACAAAACAGGTCTATTCGAAACTCAGAAAAGTTATTCGATGGTTTTGAGGTTAGACTATTTAAGAACATTTATGATGAAATAATATCAGTTGATAATCCGCATATGATACTACAATTTCTTTATTAAGATCGTTATCGATATAACAATGCTCAGTAATAGAAATTGTATTGTCAATTATTTAATGATAGAAGAGACCTTATCTTTGTTAGGATTATTTTTAATAATGTCGTTGTAGTAAATAAAAAATCAATAGCATAGAGATTTTCTCGTTTACTTAGTACTCAGAGATGGGCAACTTCAACTCCGGAGTTGACGCTTTTTTATCTGGAGTTGGAGTAGCTTATCCCCGGAGTTGCCCATCTCTGTTAGTACTATCAGCTGCTATCAGTCATGAGAAAATAGTACAATGATTAATCTAAGCAATAGATATGAGTACAAAAAAAAGTAGTAACTATATTATTAGAAGCTGTTCAAAGTACCATTACACTCAACAGTAAAAAAATACAACTCGAAAACAAATTCTAGATTGATCTACTCAGACACATAGTTATTCCTATAAAAACGAATAACTATTTATATTTATTTCAATAGTTAAACTCTAGAAAATATTTTACTTTATAATTATCTAAAGTAAATGGTGTTCCAATTGATGATGAAACACTATTATCTATATTGATTGAGCGTGAACGCCTAACTAAATTCACGTTTTCATTTATTAATTGTTCATAATTTGAATAATCTATATCTATATAAAATATAATTATGTAGATTATTTTAAAGATATAAAGACAAACCTTGTTCATGATCAATACAAATTAGATTATCTTTTTTCTGTATAGCATATGGAGAATTTGATTTGTATATTGGTAAATCTTTGAAACATGTAGAGTGGCCAGTAGATTTCAATCTAAATAATACAATACATTGAAACTTTTTTTCTTCATGGTCATTAATTTTATCGATTCTCTTCTTTAGTGTCTCAAAAATTTACATTTACTATAGTGAGTTCTAAAGATCAGATATATTCGATTTTATTAAAAAAATAATCAGACACTTTTAACGGATAAACTACGTTTCGTACCACCTATTACGAACATTTGACAGCATGACCAGGAGTTCAGAATCAATTTTTTTTTTGACGATTTTTCATAGGAGTCTGTAAAAGTTACTTGTTTTAGAGATTTATGCCGAGAGTACGGGAATAAATTTTATTTTTGAAGGTTATTACGGATGTTTAGAAATACTGTTTTACAGAAGATCGTAACAAAAAAAAGTAAGATGGATGTGAGTATGGATGTGGATGTAGGTATGGAGTGTGGGGGTGTGGGTGTGGATGATAGATATGAACAAGGCTCACGCCCTCACCAACGCCGACACCCGCACCCTACGAAAAGTAGTTTCCCCTTTGAATTAATTAAATTTCTCAGATTTTAGTTCTGACTGTAATCAACTACTATATTACTCAACTAAAACTGAAAAGTCGAAATTAATTCAACTGTCAACGAATAACTTGTTTCTTCTTCGAATAAATACGGTGCAACATACTTATTATTATTTTGTATTGTAGAACAACTAAATTTAATCAAATCATCCGTTGAACAATCTGTATCGCAACAACATAATGCATCACATGAGCCATTAGTCAGATCACATGAACATTTTTCGATATCTAAAAAAAAGAACTAGTGTGTATAAAACAAAATGAAATACTTATTTTTCTATTTACTCGAATTAATTATTTGATTTTGACATTGAACAGTTGTTAGAAATAATAATAACAATAATATATTAATGATAATATACATCTAAAATTTTATTTTACAATAGAGACACAGACAAAAAATGATAGAATATGAATAAAAACAAGAACAATTTATTTATGCTCTAAAATTAAATAAATATTTTAAGTAAATTCAATAGAAAATTAAAAACTAATTCACATACGATTTTAATGAAAGTTGTTCCATTTTTTCATTTTGTTCACGTTCAGTTTTTTTGTAATGATTCATGTTCAGCTCGAAGACTATTTAAAACAATAGAATTCAATTAATTACATAAAAATATTTAAAATATACCGTTCAAGTTCAACCATTTTTTCTTTAATTAACGATTGCAATTGTTGTTTTTCAAATTCTCGATATTTAGCAGCCGATTTTAACATGTTCTTAGCACCAATCGACTAGAATTTACAAGTAAAATCTTCATAAATAATGTCTATTAAATTAATAAAATGTATGCGCTGTAAAATATTTTTCGAAAATAGGAAATGGTTGAATTTTACGTCTTAATCATCATCGAAATCTACTAATACTGCACAAGCTTCACTTCATTTTTGTATTTATATCGTAGTGCTTTATTAGATAATTCCATTTAGTACGATGATAAAAATTATGATTTCGATTTTATTTAGTAATAGAAATTAAACTTACCCTAAGTCTTGCTGCTTCCACTTGTTTTGAATAGTCTTCAGTTTTTTCAATTAATGTATCGACAATTTTTTTGAATTCCAATACATCTTAATAAATAATTGAAATATAAATTTAACTAAAAACAAAAAAATTTACTATCAATGAAATCTTTGCATTCATCACGTAGCTCAGCCGAATCTGTTACACGTTCTGGATTGATTAAACGAATTTTATTTTCATCATCAATAAATAAACCAAAATTAGAAAGTGCTTCATCAACCATTATATTACGTTTAATGATTAGTTCAATCTCTTTCCTTTTTTTTCCTATTTAATGTAAATTCAATAAATCATCAAGAAATACCTAATACTAATTATTGCTTAGCAACTGTAATATATTATTATGATTTGATAATTAAAATAGATAAAATTAACAAAATTTTATTCTCGAAAAAAACATATGAATGATTTTAATAAATATTAAGATATATAGTTATTTAATCAAATATAGATGGCGTTACACGTAACACCTTCAAATTGTATGCGTACTGATTGTGAAGTCGTAAGAAATCACTTAGAATTTTTGGTAAGAGAGTTTGTTTTAATCTCACGAGAAACAGAACAAACTAAAATAATTATTAGATTATCCTCACTATTGAATACGTAGAATGATTTTCTCAAATTCGATAGAAGTACCAATGACCGTTTATCGGAGGAGGCGGCGATCATGGTGGAGAATCAGTTTTTGAAGTAGTATAACATCTTTTATAACGGTTTTTACTAAGAAAAAGAATTTCAAGGGGGAGTTGCGATCGTCGGATCGCCAATCGCTGCGTCCGTCTCTAAGAATTATCAACATTTCAATAAAAGTGTTCTATCTGCTGCATAGCAACCATCACGAGTTTTTATACTATTTCATGTAGCAAAATATTTTTAGTAAAGTATTAAATCAAGTTTTCATACTCGCTACATATTTCTCAGGCAATCTTGACGATAATCTGATAATAAGCACGTTATACTTATAAATCCTTAGTCCTAACTAGAGTCAACAGATTTGATACCTTTTCAATTTGAACCGTGTCTCAAGTTCTACATGCTCGATTCTAATCTCTATCTCAAAGATGTTGTAAGAAAGAATTTCTCAGAGTTATATAGAACCGCGGTCTCGTTTCGCATGCACTGTATAGTCACAACATAGTTTCCTAGAAGCTTCATTATTTCTTCAGAGTAGTATCATTCCCATCGTCATATATCAAAAATGGTAAGCAAACACTATCACCACGATGCATATACAATGTAACAACAAGCAGTTTTATTTACTATTTCAATAAAAACTATTACAAAAGAAAAATACTCGCATGATCATCATCTGCTATTTATTCGTCATCTAAATGTATGTCATATTACCATTCACAGTTCTCTTCCTCTTTCATTGTGTTCAACCAATTCATTGATTATATTCGTAGCGTCATCTCTGATTTGATTATTATAAAGTTCTAGCCAAGTGAGTGTCTATATGGAACAGTGGAAGTAAAGGTATGATATAGATGAATAAAGAATAGTAATTACTGTATTACACTGTAATGCATCAATCAAGTGTTGTGCTCCAACATCTCCGATACGGTTATTTGTGAGATCTACTGTGACGAGTGTCTAGATGGAATACTTGAGATAAAATTACGATATAGATGAATAGAAAATGACAGTTACTGTGTTGTGTCGTAATCCATTAGCCAAATGTTGTGCTCCAACATCTCCAATTTCATTTCCAGGAAGATAGAGTTCGGTGAGCACCTACATGAACAAATATAAATAAAGCCATAGCATAGATGAAAAGAGAATGACAACTACTGATGTATGTTGTAGCCCATCGGCCAAATGTTGCGCTCCAACATCTCCGATTTGATTATTTTCGAGATCTAGTATGGTGATTGTCTAGCTGGGAAAGTAGAGGTAAAGGCATGGTATAGATGAAGAGAGAATAGTAGTTACTGTGTTTTCTCGTAATCCATCAGCTAAATGTTTTGCCCCAACTTCTTCGATTTCATTTCCAAGGAGATACAATGTAGTGAGTGTCTAAATGAGCAAACGCAGGCAAAGAAATGTTTTACATAAAGAAAGAATGAGAATTACTGTGTTGTGTCGTAAACCATCAGTCAAATGTTGTGCTCCAACAGCTCCGATTTCATTGTGTGTGAGATATAGTGTAGTTAGTGTCTAGATGAAAACGTAACAGATCGTATAGATAAACAAAGAATGAGAATTACTGTATTATGACGTAATCCATCAGCCAAATATTTTGTTCCAATATTTCCGATTTGATTAGATTCGAGATTTAATGTGATGAGTGTCTAGATAGAAAAGTATAGGTAAAGAAACGATATGGACGAAGAGAGAATAACACTTACTATGTTGTGTCGTAATGCGTCACCCAAATGTTGTGCTCCAACGTCTCCAATTTCACTTTCAAAGAGATACAGTGTACTGAGTGCCTAAATGAAAAAGTGAGAGTAAAGATACGATATAGATAAAGAAAGCATGGAAATTACTAGGTTGTGTCTTAATCCATCAGCCAAATATTTTGCTCCAACTTCTTTGATTTGATTCTTCCCCGGACCTAATATGGTGACCGTCTAGATGAAAAAGTTGAGGTAAAAGTATAATACAGATAAAGAGAGAATGAAAATCACTGTGTTTTCTCTTAATCCTTCAACCAAATGTTGTACTCCCACTTGTGTGATTCCATTAATTCCGAGCTCTAGCGTTATAAGTGCCTAGATGAAAACGTGGAGGTAAAAACATAGCGTAGAGAAAGACAAAATCAAAATTACTGTGTTGCGTCGTAATCCATCAGCCAAATGTTTTGCACCAACATGTCCAATTTTATTACATCCGAGGTCTATTGATGTGAGTGCCTAGATGAAAAAGTCGAGGTAGAAACACAGTATAGATGAAGAGAGAATGTGAATTACCGTATTGTGTTGTATTACATCAGCCAAATGTTGTGCTCCAACATCTCCGATTGAATTGTTGTAAAGATTTAGTGTGGTGAGTGTCTAGATGAAAATATGGCATAAATAAAGAGAAAATGAGAATTACCCTGTTCTGTCGTAATCCTTTAGCCAAGTATTGTGCTCCAGCATCTCCGATGTTATCGCGATTGAGATCAAGTGTGGTGAGTGTCTAGGTGAAAAGATATAAGTAAAGCCACGGTATAGATGAAGAGACAGAATAGTTGATCGATGTAATTTGGGGTAGGATCTATGAAATGACTGTTGATGTGACTTGATTGAAGGTTGTATGAATATGAGTGTGAGTATTTCTATGGGTTTAGATGCTATACAGTAGTTAAGAGTATGATGTGAAAAATTGCATCAGATAAAAAGTTTCTGATTAATGCATAATAGTTTGTAAAAATATTGCTTAGGAATTGTTCTTGACTTTTCAATTTAATAAATTATCCTCAAAATTTCGTCTTTAAGAAAATGTGCTTTAGAAGTTGTACTCCCCGAAGAAATAATCCACCTTGGTGATATGTATGTAGTTATGTATGACTCTTCTATCCATCAACATCGTCACTTGCACCTTTATCTACAGTTGCTCGTGCCCTCAGAGAAGCACCTGTTGGAGATGTTTGTCAAGAAAATTTCTGAAACGTTATTTCTAAAAAAGTAAACTACTTTATAAAATCTTTAATTTCTTTTAAAATTTTATTTTTATTATCGAAATGGTATTTTAAAAAAGTGTTTGGATCCACGTAAAAAACAACTAACAATGTGATGTGTGTTTTTTTTCTCGTTCTTATCGAAACATTCTATGCTTATGGCAGCGTACATAGTTTGAAACGTGAAATATTTATATGTGGTTGAAAAGAAAAGAAAAAGAAACTCATTTTCATATTATGATAATACATAAAATGAATTATTTTGAGACACAAATAGTTTGTTCATGTATACTTTATTCAAATCATTGTATTTAAATAGAAGTCGTAGGAATGAAAAATAATTTGAGAGTCAATAGATAAAAACTAGACTATCCTGATAGAAAAACGTTTACCTCATATCGATAATAGCTGTCTACAATGTTGTTGAGTCGTTGACATACGTTTCTCATTGAGCATACGATAGTGATGTCCGATTGATAATCCCGAATTCGGTAGACAAGTTCTACCGGTAAGGTAACGAAGCTGGTAACAGTTTGATTTAACATCGGTCACTGCTAATGAAATGCGGGTTGTATAGTCTTATATGATATTTTGTTATTTATTGCAAATGATGTTGCAATTACTTGTTAAACGATAGAAAATGGAAAAAAAATGAAGTGAACTACAAAATGACAGAATCAACAAAACAATTGTATACAACGTTTTTGTTAAGATTGTTTTAGCGATATATAATGGTGTATAATAGACATGAATATTGTATCTTCGTTTATAATCAGCAAAGGTTGCATGACTTTATTTTTTATTTTTTCAAAATCTATATGGTCATTTGATTGTAAAATCAAGTATGAATACTCTATAATATCGAGTATAATTAATTCTCATGAAATAAAATCAGATGAGTAGTGAACTGAAAAGACAAATACGATCAGAAAGAATTAGAAATAAAGAAATACAGTGTTTCGCAACGCATTTATGAATGTTCACAAGAGGTTTATTTAATTTTTATTTATTTTGTAAAATAATATGAATATACATAATATATTCGTAGAAAAGTGAACTTTACATTTATGCTTTTACAATCATAATAATTTTTATCATTATTAAAAGATATTCATATGGAGATTATTTAGTCCGAGTTATCCATTACTTGATTATCGTAATTGTGTGGCATTGATGGGGCTGGTGAAATTCTATTTGGCCCAGATGTATTTGATTTTTTTTCTCTAGATTTCATTTCAATATCATTACGATCATTATTCTCCTAAAAAAAATCAAACATTATTTTAATATTTAAAAGTAAAAACAAAATCGAATACAAACTTTATCTTCATAATAATCATCATAATCAACACCAAATCGAAACCATTTTCGAATAGGTTTAGGTAAACAACAACAACAAACATCACCTATTGATATAAGATATTTCGGATCAACTTCATTAGGTTTAAGTGGATGTGTTAAATATGATACAATTAATCCAACAATAATAACAGCACCAACAGCTATAGGTGTATACCACATATAACTAATAGAATAAAAATCAAGTAATGGATCACGTCTAAATAAAAATATATAATAATTAAAAAATATATGTGTTTATTCATTTAAATATTTTACTTGAATGAATTAGTTGTTGTTATTGTTTGATTTATATAAGAAGAGCAATTACTAATACTGAATGGTAAACTTTCACTTTTCATTTGTTTTTTTGTTATTTGTGCACCCAAAAATATCCATAATTGTAAACAAAGACTTGCTAGAAAACCAATACGACCTCCATGACGATTCGCTTGTGGAAAAAAGAAACCAAGAAAAAATACACCCATTATTGGTCCAGATAAAACACCAAATAAAGATAATGCAGCATTTAGTACTGATCCAAGAAAACTAACAACATAAGTTAATAATACAACAACAACTCCTAATACAATTGAAAAGAGTTTTGATACAAGACCTTGTCGTTCATCACTTATTTTCTTTCGCATTAAACCCTTATAAACATCTTCAATAATAACAGCTGCAAGAGCGTTTAAACCCGATGATATTGTTGATAATGAACCAGAAAAAATACAAGCTAAAAAAATACCTGGTAAACCTGGATTTTCACTTAATCGTTCCATAACAAAATAAGGAAAGACTTGATCAATATCTGTAACATATTTAGCTGTATATGGATCACAATCAGCATAATATGCATAAAGAATAACTCCAATAAAACCACTTAGAAGAATAACAATAGCAGCACCAATTGCATTTATAAATAATGCTTGTTTAGCAGCACGAGTTGAACGAACACACATATAACGTTGTACTTGTGTTTGATTAAAACCATATGTTGCCAAAGAATTAAATGTACCACCGATAAGTAATGACCATACTGTATGACGAACTCGAGGATCGAAACTTACACTGAAAAGAAAACTTTTTAATAATATTTAACCTGTATGGGTGTGGGTATCTATTATGAGGGAAGAATGACTTATAAACCTACACCCACACCCTCTCGTATTTATGAAAATGAATCTTTGAAAAATACCTATCAAATTGAATTCGTCCGCCTTTCGATGCTATGGAAAATGTAGGTTCAAAACCACCCATTACAATTAAACCTAAAAAATATTTTATTTTCATTAAATTTTCGTTCGTATCTTTTTATAACCTTTTATAATCGTAGCGAGAAGGCCAACAAGAATGACAACTGCTTGTAAAACATCCGTCCAAATAACTGCTTTCATACCACCCTAATTTCAAGAGAAAAAAAAGAAGTCACATTTTTTGTTTTTGAAAATATTTTTATTAGCTTTTACATACCACCGACGAATAAAATGTACAAATTACACCGATTGAAACAACAGAAAGCCAAATATTTAAACCAGTAGCTAAATAAAATCAATCGTTCAATTTTACGTTTTTATCAAACGAAATAAAATTACTTTGACTAAGTGCTAATGCAGGAGCATATAAAACAATTGCCATATAGATTAACTATTTATAAAATTAATAGAATAAACTATCGAATTAATATGTAGTTTTGTTATTACCATAAAAAATGAAAAAGTAAATGATGCACACATGCGTACAGAACGATCGAAACGTTTTTCTAAATACTAAGTTATATTTTTTTAATAATTAATAAAAGAAATACTAAATAAAAAATTTTACTTCATAAGCACTTGTACAATTCATTTCACGAAATTTTGGCATGAACACTAAAGCTGTTACTGTCGATGCAATTGTCCATGAAATAGCTAAAATATATTTATTGTATCAATAAAAGTCTTACAGTAGTATATTATATGTACTTGACAAAGTACTTTGTTATAATTATGGACAGTTTTTAGAACTATAAGGATGTTTATTTGAATCTATCAGATTTTAAATTTAATGCTGAAGTTTATAAAATAGAGAATAGAAGTAGTAACAAACGAGTCTTTAGTAAGATAAAAGATCTAGATAATATATAGATTACGAAGAACTACTGATCTATATTTTTTTCGTATGCCCAAACTTAATTCGAATTTTTCACGTCTTTTATAAATAATCAAAATTTGAATTATTTACTGATAAAAATTAGGAAGAAGCTTTGATTTGTTTTACCTTGATAACAATACATTGTTCCAAACATATAAATTTCACTCGGTGTTCCTAATAGAGTAATTGCTGATAGAAACGAAACCATAATACTAAGAGCTGTCGGAACCACCTATATATAAAATAATTACATAAAACAATATGATTGATTTTTCATTCTATATTTACCCCCATACCACCATCAGCTACAATAAAGAAAATATATATCAATAATCTCTTTTACGAAACAAAAAATTCAAATTCTTACCTAGAAGAAATTCCTTTGCTGAACTTTTCTTTGATTTGAAAAATCCAAATATAGCACCAATAACAGCTGATGATAGAAGAAGTATAACAAGAAGAACATAATCTACAGCACTCAATGTAGGGTGTGCCATTTTTGCTAAAGAAAAAAAATTATATCGTGTTTTTTGCTTGTTGATCGAAAATACTTTAACAAGCGAAGAACAATGATGACAACAACAACTGAAATATACACGTATGACAATAGATAAAAGACGTAGTCTGTAATATACTTTCTTTTATTATACTCTATTCTGTTTTTCTTGGATTTAATATGAAGTAAGAAGATAAAAGAAAAATATTTTAAATCTACTCTTATGATAAAAAAAGCATTGTGTCAATATAAAAACATGAAAAAGATATCATGCGTTCTTTTTTATTATTGCGATTGTATAAAGATTCATACTTATGATGAAATGATGATGTCATTTTAAATAATCATAATTATTATTTACAAAAGAATGGGTAAAATAAAGATTTTTCTTTTGTCTTTTAATAATAGAAAGAAAATTAAAATAATAATATCATTGCGTACTTTTATAACAAGTTTTTATCTAACCTACAAAGTTGTCTTAGAGTATTGGTAAGATATGACGGCAAATTATCTCGTCATTTTATTTTTTAAAGGTATATTTTTCCTTTAAAATAAAAGTGCATATACAGTAGATAGTTAAAATACATTTTGCATTGTTGAAAATGGTCAAATATATGATTGTACCTTTCACGCATTAACACATTAATTTTCATTTTGAATCGTCAATACTATTATGATCAAACATTGTCGCAAAAAAAAATTAAAATCTTCAAAATATGTTTTATCATGAGATAACTAATAAAGAATTACAATTGAGAAAGTATTTATGGCACGCATTTTTTACCATAATCTATTGATATGCGTCATATACTTAAACTGCCATATGTCAGAACGGTTATCGAAAAAAAAATAGTTTTTTTGTCTTCGTTGTAAACACGAATATTATATCAGAATCTATGTAATAAAGATTTTAATTTTATTAGAATACAGACAAATGACGAACGACGCTAGAGTTCATGGATCTTTTTCTACTTGAAAATGGAACAAAAAGAAGTTACATTAACCAGTTCTTTTTCACCTGGGCAAATAAAATGGACGAAAACATTTGAAATGCATTGCAGTAGACGTTTGTTACATAAACAAAAACTATGGACTGATATGTTTATTTAAGATGAAACTTATTCACACGATACTTTTCAAAGTTTGTTTTTCATTTGAAAGCATAAAAAGGGCAAATGTTGACATGTAACAGTATATTTTTTATCTGATTAAGAAAATGGAAAACATAATAAATTTTAATACTATATTCAAATTTGAACAATTTATATTTATTTCGATTTTATTAAATAATAAATTTTATTTTATCACATGCCAAGCATATTCGAAAATGAAAATCTATTTTTCTAAATTAAATTCTTGTTGAACACTAAGTTTCTGTTAGTAAATATGTATCTTTATTAACATTCCAACAGAAAGCAAAAAAAACGAAAAAATAAATTCATGTATACATCTTTTAAATTTTTAAACGCATTCTTTTGTTTCTTGACAACTGATAGTATTGTTGAAAGGCTAAATCAATGAAAATATTTTTTCAACTTATTGTTAAAGTAAAAGGTAAAAAGGTAGACAAAAAAAATCTTTGACATATATATATATATCAGTTTTTAGGTTGTCTCTTATCTCTTGATTATCGTCGTTTGATTCCGATAGTTATTGTAACTTTATTATTATTTTTTTTTTCATACTTCTCATCAATGTCAGTTTATATCTTCTAATATATCATATATTAATAAAACAAGAAATTCATCTAATCAAACAAACATACAATCACAATTAACTAGAATTATTGTTGTATCTCATTATAATGAAGATTTAAATTGGCTTGATTTATTTATTGGTGATAAAATTCCACATATTGTTTATACAAGATCATCTGATCCATTAATAAGTCATAGTCTATTAGTAAACAAAGGCAGAGAAGCTGTGGTTTATCTTCGTTATATTGTTGATTTTTATTCAAATTTACCATCATCAATAGCTTTTATTCATGCACATCGAACTTCCTCGCATCAAAAGGATCCAAATGATGTTGTCGTTGCATTACGAGCTTTAAAATGGAATAAATATAGTTATATGCCATTGACTAGTACAAGAACTGAATCTCGATTTCAACATAAAGCTCTAGAATTACAAGCATCAGTTAATTATCGATTATGGGTAGATGTTCTACAAAAAGAACTTGGTCCACCACCATTAACTGGAATTCAAACACATTGTTGTGCATCATTTGTAGTTCGAAAAGAAGCTATTCTTAAACATCCGAAAGTATTTTATTCAAACATAATGAGCTATATTAATTCCAGTTACTATTCGGATTATTTAACTGGTAGAACACTTGAATATACTTGGCATATGATCTTTGGTCAACCAGCAATATTTAATTTAAAAACATGTGATTTATTTTTTTGTGATGTAAATGGAAAAATTTCTGTTGAATTAGCGGAAAAAAATTCATAATTCATATTTATTCTGATTATTTGATTAACAAATTGACAAGCATTCGTTTACCGAGAAGAAGAAAAAATACAATTTTTTAAAAGCAAAAATTGTACATTCTTTTGTGTAATACAATGTTAAAATGAATTCAAATAATAGTTATAGAGTCAATAATATTAGAATTCGATTGACAAAACTGTATCATAAACTTATGATAAGTATTATTCGATATCATCATAAGTAGAGATATTTTTTGTTAATCTTACACAATATTATATACGCTGTTTTATCTCTGTTAGGGAGATAACAGTCTTTAAAGATCTTAAATATTATCATATTGATTTAAGTTTCTGAATAAGTAATGTATAATCTATTAATGTATTTGCACAAAGGACAACTTCTTTCTATAATCTTAGAAACGAAAAAGATTAATAATGATTCCAAGTCAGGTGCTGAATTTGCAAAACTCAAATAAAGTAAATCATTTCGCAGATTTGAAAGTTTACTTTTCATAAGCTGTTCATATACAACTAGTAATCAAAATTTAGTACTATATAACGGAATTTTATAAGTTACAACAGATATTTCCTATATAATTAAAGACTATGCATGAATTCATATCTTGTTTTTTCATTTCCGACTTGTCATCAAGATAGAATAAACGGATTCACAAATTATCTTTTCTTCTTTGATTGAACTCATTCATAGGCTATTAAAAATATGAAAACTAATAATACATAACGTATGTATATAATAACAGATACGTAGTTGTTCTATGGAGGAATTTGTATTTCGATCCTCATTTGAAGTTTTATATTTCATAAAAGAAGAAAGACATAATGAATAACCATCAATTTATCGTTTGTACTATCGATTATTTATTTAGAAAAAGAAAATCACGTATAATATGTCGTTCGATATCAAAGTTTAAGCATGTTATTGTTGATCTTCCATTATCAATGAATATTATATTATAAAATATTTAGTAAAACTAGGAAGGAAAAAACTATTGAGAAAATATTTGTATCAATATGTCGTAGAATAATGACTAAGTAGATTACTGAAAATACCTCTGTATCTGAAATATTTCTATAGTTTCTATAATATTTCATGGAGAAAACCTTCAAATAATGATCTCATCGAACATGTTGTGAGGAGTGTCACATAATTATAGAGTATCTGATGGTTTCTATAACATAGTAGAAGTAAGGTATTGTAAACGGAGTACTTTTACAAGGATTCATTCTATAATATATTATCTTATGAGTATAATGGTAAAACAAAGAAATGGAGAGTCTAACTTTCATGTGAGTTATTGAATGATATTGTGAAAAATATCAATTAAGACGATCGCGAAATCTTAGTAACATGTAGAATGACAAAACTATCTATAAAGTATTTCGTCGGAGAAAAAACATAATTAAAAAGAACATGTATGTAGTAATATAAATAATTAAATGATGTTTTCATATGTAATTATGATCTTAATAATTACAATGGTATTTATTTAACTGATAGACCTACTAAATATATCACAACAGAACTCGTTCTCTTCTAGTTTTTTGATTGAACAATGCAAATGCGAATTAATATAATTTTAGTCTTGAAAAATAAACCGCATAAATAGGTTATTGTTTAAAATGTTATACTTTATATCTCAGAATTTTCCTAATAGATTAATACAATATTTTCTCTATTTACACTTAAAGTTCACTTAGAATTATGATGCTACGATGACCTTTTTAAAAAGGAAACGTTGTGATTAAGTATCGGCTGAAGTTTTATACTCTAAGTAGATTATTTAATAGTAAGTAAATTCAATGCGTAATAATATTTCAGTGCAATAATTAAAAAAATGATGTTTACTACTACTTAAAAAAAATTCTTTTCTCTTCAACTTAGATTATATAATGTTCATTTGAGTCTATAAAATTCATACACCACAACATAATTAATGTGATAGAACTTAATCTAGTATCGTCTATCATATTATTATTTATAGTTATAACAAACTTAGAAACAAAAAAGTGTATGAATCACCTAGGATGTATATAGAAAATTTAGTTCGCATTCATCATCTAAGATGAATAATATTTTGCTACTGTTTCCATCAATAATTTTTTCGATAACTTAGCAGAGAATAGAAAATATAGTAAAATTATATTATTAACATTTATTGGTAAACTTTCATAAGTATATTAGAAGATATAGAATTGTAGTATACATTAAAGTATCATATAAATTTAATATTTGATTGTTATAATAAAAAGAATAATAATTATACCAATCTTCTGTATAACTGAACAGATATTAGAAGAACAACAACAACAATATGCTATCAAATAAAATACATAGCGGCAGATTGTGGTTATACAAAACCCAAATGTAAATATAATAGTATATGATAGTTTAATAAAAGCCTCTGAAGACTATTAACTTGTTCAAACTTTGTAAATCTCTCGAAGCGCATCTATCAAATTCTTGAAATTTCTAATAATTTTAAGAGCAAACGTTGTTCCAAGATTTCTGAAATATTTGAAGTTTATAAGAGTAGGCAAGAGAAATCTTAGATAACATTGCTGGTATTGTTAATCTCCATAAATTTTCATATTTATATAATATAATTGACTTGTTATAAAACTAAGCAAGTTTAGTTTTCGAATTACTTTTTCTTTGAAATTCCTTGTAAGAAAATACTCATTTGATATGTAACTTTGACAGAAGAATATCATAAATTATGTCACAAGAGAGATTATTTGTTAAAACTTTTATTAATTTGACAATCTCAAGTACAAAAGAATAATTGGTTTTCTTCTTCTTCTATGTGTATATGGTAGATTTTCATAAGACGACAAGCTATTTTAGATTATGATAAATGTGACGGTAAGAGAAGATGATTTATATATTACAATAGATATTAAATATACGCAATAGTATCTGTTTCAAAGAAAAGTTTAATATGTAATTCTGTCTTTCGGCTTCATATACTACGATTTTATATGATATCTTATATTTAGTATTCAAAATCAAGTTCAATTAGTAAACTGAATAGGTTCATCATTCTACACATACAATTGAGTATGTCACATCTATAGTAGATATAGCCTCTAGGCTATTCTTGATAAATAAGGATTTAATAACTTGATGCCGTAGAGAAGTCGAAGTCATATCTATGCATGTAGAAATATGTTTTATGAGGCATAAATCTTTTAGTGAATAGTCAGTTACACAACATGATGATTAAATGTCTCAGTTTCCGAAGCATGCGATCATATAGGTGCATCTATTATAAAAATAAATTTAATCAGTTTTTTTATATTAAATACGTGAATTCTTGTAATAAGAAAACATTCGGTCTATTATACGATACGTTCAAGTCAATGGTAAACATAAAGAATTTTTAATTATGAAGTGACTAATTCCAATGTTAGAAAATATAAGCTTTATTTATTCCTACATGAAAGTAAGAACATTATTACACATAAAAAACATATAATCAGAATTGAGAATAGAAAAACAAAAATCTTCTATTCATATTCTACTAATAGAAAACTATAAAACTATAATTAATATATGTTATCTTGCTTTATTTATCTCAATTCCGAATCATTTACTACTGAATAATATTCATTTGACCTTATCTTTCTTTTATAAAATTCAATAATAAGTATACTGACATTTTGTTTCTTTGTCTCTCTCGTAAATTTTAATTAATTATAATAAACAAGAAAACATTCTTAAAAATGCTTCATACCAATTCAGATATTGTAGTATGTTCTTTTACTTAATCTAACTTGAACATTATTTTGCTCTAGAGAAAATAACATTTTTTTACAGGAAAAATGCACTCCGTATCTAATACTACTCATCAGAACTCAAGTACTTACGATTCATTATAAACTACTTGTTATGTATTAAATAACAACATTCAATATATATATATGAATCTCATATTCATTTTTGACAGAAAACTAAAATATAATCGTTAATAATAAATTTAGTCTTCATTAGAGAATAAAAAGATAGACAATTTTCCTTGACTATTAATGCTATATTCCGTTCTTTTGTTATTTTGTTATTCAATATAATAAATGACTATATTCGAAATAATATTGTTGTACTTTAAGTTCATTCATTTATATATATTTTTTTATTTCCTATTATAACAATTGTGTTTTATACAAGGACTTTTTCTTTTTTTGTCTATAATAATATTTGACAGATATGCATATATGTGTGATTAAAGCATGAATGGATAAAAGAGAAGGGAAAAGAAAAAATATGTATTGTGCGCTATGCGACCTTATGAAACATATACACGCAAAAGTTTAACCTTGGTTGTGACCGATGGATGTTGACCGCCACTATTCTTCTTAACAAATAAACGCGCGAGCATACGTTATGTATAAACTTATCGAACGAGCACGAAAAAATAAGAATATGTGCGTGTGCGTGTGTGTGTGTGCTCATGCAATTGCATAGCATCCGATTGACCTTGAGTTAGAGAGAGAAAAAAAAGAAAGAAAAATATAGAAAGAGAAAGATTCATATTGTACCATCGGTCACTCTACAATTGTGTTCAAGGTCATCAAACTTATTTGCATTTGCACATGTTATTAAACAACAGAAGCATTTTATAACAAAAAACTTTCTTTTTTTTTATATGATGAATATTATTGATGAGGTAAGTTGTAAAATGAGATCGATATTTGCGCGTTATATAAAAAAGAGAAGAAAGAATAATTTGCTGACAACTATTGCAGTTGTTGTTGTCATCGACATGTTATTGCTATTGCCAAGGATCTTCTATATATATTTTTTTTTATGGTGATTGCGTGAGATGAGGAAAAAAACGAACAAGGCCAAAAAACAAGTCGGTATAGACACGACTATATAACGTAATATTACATAAAAATGGCATAGAAAGGGATAGAAAAGAAAGAAAATAAGAGAGAAAAAAAGAAGGAAAATTACATAATTCGATTCGACAGAAAAATACATCCATCGTCAGAAACCCGGGTACTATTTTATAACTATACTAAAGAAGACGATGGAGAACTAGCGATAATAGAGAATCGGTTGTCGCGTTCTGTTCTTTGATGATAATAGCAAAACGACAGAACGTGTGTTCTGTCTGTCGTTCTTAACTTACGCAAGAGAAAAAAAAACAAGAAAACAAGAAACTGCTGTTACTGCCTATGACGCGGAGTAATAGTAATCTAATGCAATCACACATACATAAGTAAAAAAAAACGACGCAAGAAAATAGAAACGAGAGAGAGAGGGAGAGAGGAAAAAAGAATTAAATCACGCAATCACTCTTCTTCGTCATTGGACGCGACCAAAAAAAAAATATAGTATTCGCTTTCTTCCATACTCAGAAGGACGTTTGTGTAGATTGATAGTGTTGTTGTTGAACAACAAAAACAGATATTCCCGGTGAATAACAAAAATAATTCCGAAAACAGCATCGATATTTAAAGAATGGTAAGTCTTGCATATTATAGTGACCTAATCGAATATCGACTCCTTATTTTTTTCGTAATTATTAAAAAAAAGAAAAAGAAAAAAGAAATAAAAGATATAATATTTACATATATGTGTCATGAGTAGACAAGATATCATTTGTTTTTCTATGTTCTCAGGTTGGTCCGGTGAAAAACGAAGAATCATCTTTTAGTCCTAATACAGATCATACTCAACAACAACATTATCGTCTTCAATTATTAGCACAAGCTATAGAAAAAGTAGAAAGTGAGTGTTCACAAACAAAACTTGCTGTTACAACAAATTTAACTCATAAAAAACAACAAGTACAACAGCAAATTCCAATCGATTCTCTTCCCATGTCTGCATCACCAACACAACAACAACAACAACAAGAATTATTAATGCAATTACTTACTCAACAAAATGTTGCAGCAGTTATGGCCGCCGCTGCTGCTGCAGCTGCAGCACAACGTCAAGCTCATCAGCAACAACAAAAACTTGAGCCTATATCTCCACCATCAACATCTTCAGCATCATCAACAGCTGAAAGTCCAATAGATTTTTCATCTCGTCGTTCAACAGATGACATGAATGAATATACTACTACTCCACCATCATTATCACCAAATCAACAACTTATTTCAACAATGTTACAAAATCTTCAATCAACAAATAATTTTCCTTTTTTATTAACAAATAAAAATGGTAAACCAACACGACCATTTAAAGCTTATCCACGTGAACCATTAATGTTACCATTTGGTTTTTGTTCTAATACAACATCAATGGAACAAAATTCTATTCTTGCTGATGCAGCTAGTTGTTCAACACTTAATCGAAAACGACTTGCTCAAACACAAGAACGTCTTAAACAACGTTTACAACAACAACAACAGCAGCAACAACAACAACAATCACAATCAACACATTTTATATCATCATCCGGAACACAAATTTTACAACCACCAAAAAAACGACATCGAATTATGGATGATTCAATAATAGATGATGAAAAAAATCTAAGCAAAGATAATAATGATGAAGCAAATAATGGAATCAAAGATGATGCTTATTGGGAACGACGACGAAAAAATAATGAAGCAGCTAAACGAAGTCGTGATTCACGACGTGCGAAAGAGGATGAAATTGCTTTAAGGTAAAATAAACAATGAATTTAATATAAAACAAAGTACATTATTTTTTTTAAACGATATTTTAGAGCTGCTATTTTAGAACAAGAAAATATGAAATTACGCCTTGAATTATCACAGTTAAAACAAGAAACGGCTAAATTACGATGTATGATCCATGCGTCTTAATAGTCATATATATATATATGTGTATCTCTTTGTCACACACACACACACCCTCTCTCTCATGTCAGACTCGGTGATGATTTTGTTTTGTTTTTTTTTTGCTAAAGTATTCATTTATTTCTTATTCATCGAGTTGTTCGATCTCTTGTTTTTCCTTTCTTTACGTCTGCTAAGCAGTCTTCGAATACAAATGAGAGAGCTGAGCTCCGCGGATGTATTCATATGTCTATAATATTTGACTGATTGTACTGCTTCATTTTGTTTTCTTTTTCTGATTTATATTCGTTGTATTTGACATTACCAATGACTTCTCTTCTTCTTCTTCTTTTTTTTGCCGTGTATACGTGGCCATTTTCTTTTGTCTATTCTATAATTAACGATATGCTTTATTATCACATTTCATGATGTCGTTTATGTTTTAGTTCCTTCTTTTTTACGCAATATATGCTGCTTTTTTTTGTATGTTTGTTTAGAATTGATTAGAATCAATTTTGTATTTGTCTATGTTAATGTGTCATATTTCGTTAGTTTAATGTCTTTAAATGTATACAAAAAACCAATCTCATTGAATGCCTATATGTATGTATTAACGCGGGCTGTTTTCTTTTTGTCATTTTCTTATAGACAACTTTTTTTTTTGAAATAAAGATATCAATTAAATTTTACTCTAAAGAATAGAGATTTTATAAACTTGAAATAATTGTTTTTCGGTGAACAAATTATGCTACTTATATTGAAGATTGATGGGATGAAGAACTGTTTTATAGAGATAGTCACGAATTATTCAAGTCTGTCGAGTTCAATTTGCGAAAGTTATATATTTATTGAACGGGAATGCAAAAAATAACGTGAATTTGCAGCTCTTTGCTTAAGACATTTAAGATTAAGGTCAAGATTTAGACATATATATATATATATATTTTTAAACAAGTATGCGTGTTCTTCTTCGATGTTAATAATAAGGCTGGATTTTGATATTTCCATGTATATATAAATTAAGTCTTATTCATAAAGAAGTTGATGAGATGTATGACATGCATTGAAATAACCTCGATATTCTATTATTAAACAATATATTTATTCAAATATGAAGAAAAATTCATTCGATCAACATCATCTTATAAACATATTTTTCGATCACAGTTATATTATATACCTAATTATTCATTCTCAAACGAATTCTTATGCATACTGTAAATAACTTGTGTGAAGCAAAATATTGTTTCCTAGTTGACGATCATTGTAGAATTAGTCTTTGGTTAAAAAAAAACATGATCTATAATTTTTTCGATAATTAAATTTAAAATTGTTTTTTAATAAATTTTGATTAGAAAGCGTAAAATGAAATTTTCAACTATATAATTTTCTGATAAGATCATTATTAAACAAACACATGCTTATCTAACTCAATCATTGATGTAAAAATATGCGAAAATTTATCTTCTGAACTTGTGAAATAAAAAAAAGAAAGATCTAAAGTGATCTTATTCAATAGTTCACACAGTGTGAAGTCAAGATCAAAGATACTATAAATCTATATTATTTCCATAATTATCTCAAGAGAGAAAAAGTTTATGTTTTTTCTTAAATAATCTATTTCAAAACAAATAAACTATTGTTATATATTTCAAAATTTTATTTCGTTTTACTTAATCACATTATCTAAAAATAGCATACTTCTATCATGCATGACCTTTCCTATCATCATCATTATTATTACAACATATCGCAATTAATCATTATATATCTCCGTTTTATTTTTTGTTCAATTTAATTCCGCTGAACATCTGGTTTTAAATGATGCAAAAATTGCCTAAACAGATTGCAACATATAATTATCGAAACAAAACATCCGCTATACGTCAATTTTTCAAGATCAAATTTTATATATAGATACAAGATATTCATTGGTCAATTTTTCATATTAAAATCTATTGGTTATGAAAAATAAGTTTGCAATTTAATATCTCTCTTCACACCAACGTGTGACAAGGTCGCTCAATGTTGTTCAATGATTATTACATTGTATCATATAACACATGATAATGATAGAAAAAATCAAGAGAAATTTCATTTATAGACATATAAATGTCAAATATTTGACAAGAGAGATGAAATTAAAAATAATTATTTTGTAATGAACTTCGAAGAAAATTAAGAGATTTTGAAATAATTTTTCACTATCGAAGTTTTGATTATATAGAGATTATCATCATCATCAAGTATATATCTTTGCTATAGTTTAAGAAATTAAATGCTGTTTTCCATTGATCATCAATTATGTAAATAAGACGAGCTTTACTTTTTTTTTCATAGAAATAATCAAGATTTATATCACACTATGAGTAATTAGTGTACATTGAATGACCAGTGACCTATGTATACACAACAACGATCCAATCTTCTTTTCTGCTATGTGCGGTGTTCACTCTATTTTCATTCACATCGATCACCAAAGAGCTCAAGCTGTGGTGTTCGCTTGTATATGTTCAACGTTGTTATTTAATTCTCTCATTTTTTTCTCTTCTATTTTTTTTTTCGTTCATACATCGCATGACCTTGAGTATGTAAGTAAACTGATGGTCAAATATTTTTCTTCTCTTTCGCTGACCTCACCATTCATCCTCATAATCGACAGGGGTCAGCAATCGTTTGCTTTATCGATCACACGGAAGAGAGCCGTTAGAACGACCTTGCGCAATCTATATTTCGTTTTCAAAAAAAAAGAAGAAACAACAGGCCACATCTCACATTCTTTTTCCTTACCGCCGCAGGTGATTATTCAACATTGAACGCAATCAGACGTGATGGTGAGTATATTAGATTGATAGCGGCTAAGCCCATTGGCGAAAAAAAAAATGAAAGTGTATTCTCTGAACAATATGAGCAAATATTTAACGCGAAAAAAAATAGAGAGAAAACGAGGGAATATATATGTGTACATTCAGTGATCAATGATCAAGTTGAATAGCTAATGGTGAGTTATCTAAGAAAATTTTTGTTTTCCTTTGCTAAAAGAATAACTTATTTAATATCAAAGACATAATCACAAGAGGAATTAGTGTCTTGTTTTTCTCTCTTCAAAAATTTAAAAACATTATACGGATTAATGAATAATTTCAAGCATAGAAATATTTGATTTGCTTCGATGATCTTCTCTTTTAAGTTGTACAATATTTTGAAATTAAGAATAAAGATCATAGTAAACCTTTTTTCTTTTTAATCTGAATTAGTAGTCTATGTTACCTGTGACGTCATCATTTGAGTGTTCAATTAACGTATGTCAATTCCCTTCATCGTTCTCGGATAATGATCAGTTTGTTCTCTGATGACACATATATTTTCTCTCTCTCTCTGTTACTTACTTATTCTTGCTCACCATAAAGAATCTCATTTGTTCTTAACTTTAGATCGCTCCACAACTTCATTTTCTGGCTGATATAGCTGATCAAATGGAACAAATAAATCATCATGATGATGAACATGATCAATCATCAAATGAAGAAAATACACATGATGATCAACAGCAACTATTATTCAAATATCTTGCTGAATCATTACAAAAACAGCAACAACAACAACAACAAAGTGCACCAATTGATTTTTCAACAACATCAAGTAATCTTAAAAAAGAACTACAAGATGGTGATGATAATGATGATGATGATCAAGATGATGAAGAAGAAGAAGAAGATTTAGATATGGTAAATATTTGTTTTTATTCACAAGAAAAATATTGTATTTTCTCTTTTAATTTTAAGCAAGATAAACAATCTTCTTCATTAATTCCTTCATCAATGTCAATGTTACCACCATTATTACTTCGTAATAAACATGGTAAACCTACTCGACCATTTAAAGCTTATCCACGTGATCCATTATCTTTACCACTTGGTTTTTATTCTCCATTAGTTCCATCATCAGATAATCTTTTAAATGTATTAGCATCATCGAATGATGATTTCTCTAAACAATTTCGTAAACGTATTCAACAAGCTCAAGATCGTTTTATAAATCGTGGAAAAGATTCACCAATAAAAAATTCTAATCAACAACAACAACAACAACAACAACCACCACCACTACAAGAAAAACTTCATAGTCCATCTTCAACAACAAATCATATACCGCCAAAAAAACGTTATAGACCAAATACACCACCACCAGAAATTTCTTCATTAACTTTAAATCAACAAACAAGTCAGGATACAGATACAAAAGATGATGCTTACTGGGAACGACGAAGGAAAAATAATGAAGCTGCTAAACGTAGTCGTGATGCACGACGCGCGAAAGAAGATGAAATAGCTCTTCGGTATATAAAAAAAACATCAATCAATTAACTGAATTTCATTTTTGTTTTCATTTGTTTTGTTTAGAGCGGCTTGGCTTGAACAAGAAAATCTTAAACTTCGACTTGAAAATGCACATTTAAAACAAGAAAATGTTCAACTTCGTTGTCAAATCTATGGTTCAACAGATTTATCTAATACCTCAACATAATCTTAAAGAATATTGTCGAGTTTTGTCATTTTCTTTTCTTTTTTTCTTTCTTGTAGTAGAATTCTTTTTTCTTGCCGTGAATTCAAATTGTTCATGCCATAATGAGGCTTATGTTTGTCTCTTGTATTTACATCATCATCATCATCATCATTCGTTGCTTTTTTTTTCTTCTCTTTTACATCATGTCCTATCGTTTTGTGTATTAGTCAAAATAAATAAAATAGGTAAATGAAAAATGAGAGATATTATTCTTTTTTTCTTTGATGACATCATGATGAATATTGAACATGTCAAAATTTCCGTCATATTATATTGTTTGATGTTTATTCATGCATAAGAGTTCTGTTTTAATAATATCCATCTGTTCATATTTCAAAATGTGATAGTGAGCATCGTTTCAGGACAATCTTTCGTTGTATATATATATATATGTATATGTATGTTTTGGTTGCGCATTAAAAGAGAAGTTTGTCCGTTGCATGGGTGAACCATATTGAACAGTATACGTCTCGGAATGATGATTATGAGAAGCTTGTTAGTTAGAAAGAAAAAAGGTCAGAATTAGCCAATTTAGTTAGAGTGCTTGCTAGTGATCATAATATTACATGACTTTTTACTATGAATTGATGTCCAAAATAGAGTTCATTTAAAGATTGAATTCATAAGGGATAATATGATTATATATCAATGAACGGAAAAAAAATTCATGAATGATAATTAAAACGGAAAAGTTTATCAAGAAATTTTAATGTAAAAAAAATGTATGTTATCATAAGCAATAAAATTTCCTTCTTAAAATTTTATAACTACTTGTGAAATTGTTATTCTTTGGACATTTTGAAGGGAAAATACATAATGTTCGAATTTCTGTTTATTTAACGTCATCTCATTACATGTATTCATAATGAACATATGTATTGAGTTTTTCTCAGAAGAATATCAACTTGAAAATATAATTAAATCAATAAAAAAAAAGATGTTTCTATTCACATAAGCTGCTCAAAATAAACTTTAATCTTTCAATTTCAAATTTTTAATTTGCGGTATTATTGAGTTCTAGAGATACAGTACGATTGACCTTTTATTTCATTACATAGATGCCAAATAAGAGCTTTTGATTGAATGAATAAATTGGAAGTTCAAAATCTGTATATTGTTCATCTTGTCTTCAATTTATAGAGATCATATCAACTGAATCGCATAAAAAAGTGCCTGATAAATTGATATAAAATATGAACTTATCAATATTATTTGATCTGATAATGATAATCATAATGATTAGTATTCCCATCATCTTAAGTAAAGGATTGAAACATATTTTAGCTTTTAGCATGATTATAATTTATATATTCTTATATGATTAGATTGACTGAAGATATGATGACAACAATCATTGATCATATAAGCGGAAAGATTCTTTATCTTATACTTAAAATGCTGAAAAAGATAACGTAATGAAGATTTATTTTAATTGATTACTTGCGCCATCTATGGAAGTTTATTTTAATTGACTTTCGTCAATACAGATATTATTATAAAAATTATTAGGATATATTTCATAATACTGAACTGAAGTATGACCCATAAATATAGATAAATAGCATTTTTAGGCATGTGATTGAATAAATTTTCACGCAATAAAAACAGTTATAATTAAGCAAGTAATACAGTCTGCCTGTCTATCTATTTTGTTTTTGTTTCCATGAGAATTAATAACCATATAAACTATTTTTAAAAATATTTTCTATCATGCTTATAAAGTTTTATTGACAAATATATTTTTGAGTTAAATATAGAATAAATTTCTTATAATAACATCGATTAAAAATAAAACTATTTGATGTATTCTATTTGAATAATCTAACTAATAATACTCTTTTCGAAACAATCAAATATTAAATGGGAATTTTTATATTTCTTTTTCTCAAGAATCAAATAGAAGAATACAAGAAAATTATTGATATTTTCATATTAGACAATCTTTTGAATTTTATCGCAAGAAAAATTGAATGCAATTATTTAATCAATTCTATATTTAATATTGATCGATAATAGATTAAAAAGATATATATTAATTAATCATTTTCTTTTCTTTAGATGTCAGCATACGTTTCTAATCTACTTGTACTTCCAGATGAAGTTCTACTGGAAATATATAAATATTTGTTAAATCCTCATGTATTATATTCCTTTTATGGAGTAAATAAACGTCTTAATACATCTATAACAGATTATTATCGTCATATACCATTAACAGATGTTACTTTTGAACAATTTCATTATCTTTGTTGTGCTATTTTACCAAAAATAAATTTACATATACAATCATTATCAATAAATAATTGTCGATCTGTATTACAGGGTAAAATATTTTCACAATATTTTTCTCATCAAATATCACAAATATTTCCAAATCTACAAAAATTAACACTCGTTTGTTTTGCAAATGATGAATTAGAGAGATTTCTTCAAACATTAAATAATCTTGAAACTCTCAATCAAATTGAAATACGTGATGTTCTTACTCCACATGCAACATTATTTCAATATGTTGTTACAACAAATAATAATCGTTTTACTACAATAAAATTTAAAACAAGTCATTTAGATATACCATTAAATCCATGTTTAAATATTCTTAATTTAACTATAACAATACAAACAATTGAAAAATTATCTCATCTTCTATTAATTATTCCAAATATTCGTCAATTAAATGTAATCACTGATGATATAAGTTTGTGTGAATTATCATTTGATCATTTGTCACCGTTAATTTATCTCAAACATTTTACTCTTCGTTGTTGTAATCATTTTTGGTTATTAGAAGAAATTACTAAATTATTTAATAAGATACCTTTTGTAGAATATTTATCATTAGAATTATCTTCACAAGATTCCGGTTTTGTAAATAGTGAACAAAAGATGTTTGATAATCTACCAAAATCTATTCGACAATTTCATTTTTTATTACGATATTATTATGATAATATCGAAGATATTGATTATGATGCATTATTAAAATCTCCTTTTCCAATTGTTTGTTTAATTGATGAAAATATCGAACAAGCTCTTTTACATACAGTTCCATATCAATTTCCATTATTAAATATATCATCTCCGATGATAAAACAAATGTCTACGTGTGATAATTATCGAAATCTTGATAAATTTTTTGATTATTTAGGAATGACTTTAACTGAAATATTTCCTATTATTACACGTTGTCGACGAATAAAAGAAATTGATATTCAATATGATAGAGAAGATGAATTATTATCAGGTACTATTATATAAGAATTTTTAATAGATATTATCTTATTGTTTTTTTAGTTCAAGAGCCACAAAAACTTCCAACACTACCGCATTTATTTAATTTAAAACGTATTTGGTTATTACATCCATCTAGAGAATATCAATCATTTAAGTCGATTCTTCAAATAGCACCCAATCTATCGGAATTATTTATTGCATTTGATAATCTTCTGCCAATGTTCAGTGATAATGATCTATGTCAATTACTAGGAGAACATATTACTCATATACTTATTTTACGAACAACTGCAGCAACACCAACAGTAATAACTGAACAATATATACCAAATTTATTTAGTATATTTCAACGTCTTCGTCATCTACAAATCGATGTTACTAATGGACCATTAATAGAATCCATTGTTCTATCAGTTGTAAATATAGTTAAACAATATTCACAACTGATATCACTAGTTGTTGAAGGACAATCATCATGTGATGAATTAAAATTAAATGCACGTCAATGGTTAGTTGCTAATACTCATTTAACAATCAATGAAAATTTTGATGCTGAATATAAAGAACAAACTAATCGATTTTTATTATGGATGTAAAATCTAATTAATATATTAATCCAATAAATAGATGAATTATTTCGACAAAATATATTATTTTCACATAAACTAGCTGATCTATACTTCAAGATGAAAGTAAAACAGAAACAGTTTTCGTATCAGAATTTTTACTACGCTTTTTGTGACCGGTTATTGTTCGTTTTTTTACGATTTATTATTTTTTGAAGTGATATAAATAAAATGCAATGTTTTCCTTGTTTGAAAATAAATATTTATATTTTATATCGATCTCTATCAAGACTTCTTGAGCAATCTTGTACAACTAGTTAATCTAAATATATTGCGAAACAAGAAATATTGTTTTTAATATACAGAAAAGAAAAACTAGCTGTCTTGTTAATTGCTCCTGTCATTATAGATACATTAAATATATCAGATTCCATAGTCTATTTTCCGAATTCTGAAAGATAATGATATTTTGTCAAAATATTCATTTACAAGATATAAAGCTCTTAAACGATATATTTAAGCAATGGGCTATTTTCTGATATCAATTAAGCGAAGAATTTTGCAACACATATTGTATTTATGTATGTATTATCGTTTAAGAAGATGCTAGACGACTGATATTTACTTATAGATATGTCATATAATACTTCATAAGTATTACAAAACTAAATGTTTATTATTATTTTAGTAATATGAGTCGATCACGAAAAACAAACATGTCTAATGTCGTTGCTGCTTTTTTATTGAAAGAAATGAGCATCAGTTTGAAATATTGACACAGCAACAACATTAATTATGATGTGTTTATTCTTGAGTATCATACCTGAAATAAAATGAGACTATAATGAGTTTTTATAAAGAAAAAAGATTATCATCTATTGTAAATTCTAGTGTAGGAAGTCTGACTCTATTTATTATAACGCAATTTCCTAATAAAAAAAAGCTTTATATAGATAGTAAGACCATACATTTCCGTAATTTAGTTAGCCTGAAGTTACAAAAAAAAACGCGAAATGAGCTTGAAGGATTATTCGAGATAAACAAAAAAAACATTTTAAATAAAGTACATTGAAGAAAAATGGTTATTGATAACTGGCCGATTATCAATAACATATTAAAAGATTTGCTTTTAGTACATTGATCGTCTTATTTACAAGACTATTGAATAAGATAATTTTAAAAGTAAGCAATTTTTTATGATGGTATGATTGAGATTGTTAGAACAAATCATTTTTCTGATTGAAAAAAAATAAAAGCGGGTAAAAATAGTTTTTTTCCAAGGTCTTATATATTTCATTGTTTATAAATCTGACTTCCTATGGTATTGATTTTATTTATCTATTGAAATTATGTTTTAAAGAAAAACAATACGCTTGAATGTATCTAAAAAAAATATTTATTGTTTATTTCTTTTGATAAATGATGTGTTTAATCTGTTTATATTAATATTAGAATATTTTTCTGTACACTTGAAGAGATCATTTATTCTTTTGTTAATCAAAAGAAAATAGATGTGTTTTTTAAGATCTTTTTTATCGTTTTTACTTGACGATCATTTATCAAAAAATATTCTTTGCCGCCGCCACCTCTCTCTCTCTCTCTCTTCTGACAATCTCATGGGAAACTATTATTTTGTATCGACGAAATTATTTTTAGAATATTTACATATTCAAAGAATGATCGGTTTCAGCTCATAGATATTTCATTCTGGAAAAAAACAAAACAACATACTATTAAGATGAATATGAAACACATATTTTTCCCTGAAGACAACGCAATGCATCATAAATACCAAAAAAAATTCGTCACCGATCATTATCATATTTACGTGCTTTAATACACATAATTGAACATAGCTATATTTATATGATGCGTCTTAAATATTTAAGTTCGAAAGAACAAAGTATGCTCTTCTTCTTTGATACGTTCAAATCGTTTTGACATAGAAAAAAATGAAAAGCACTTAAGATAACTTCCTGTATGTCAATCGTACTAAGTAATCAGTTCTCATCAAAATATGTAGTTACTTAGAGCAATTATCAAAGTCATTTCTTTTTTGAAGATTCATCTATTGAATATTAACTTGTTTTGATTGCTATTCTCTTGTCTTATTCCGTTATGAAAACATCTAGTTGTATGTCAATTGTTGTGCGTCATCATCATCATCGGATCTATAATTTTCTTGTTTAATCAGTTGTTTAACATGAAATAGATCGCGTGCGTATAAGCTGTATTCTATGTATTTCTTTTTTTCTCTCATCCGATTATGATAGACTCCTTGACATTGATAACAAGGAAATCAAAAAAATAGTTTTTATCAATAGAAAAATGATACATATAAATATTATGATGTTCAGGATAAGTATAAAATATTTTCTTCATTAATAGGATTAATAATAAGTGAAAATGCTCATCAGTATTTAATAACGATCATGTTCGGATAATATTTACGATTAGAATGATGATAATTTATATGAAGAAGTTTTATATATTTGAAAATAGTACTATATAATCTATAGAAGTATCTTTCTTTCCGAAAAATATATCAAATAAAGAAGAAACTAGAAGATCGAAGTAAGGAGAATTACTGTTTAATACTAAATGAAAATTGAGCAATATGTTATAATGAAATGAGTTCGAAAAGATGATTATCTTCTCCTATTAAATAACTCTTCAAAAATCGATATAAATGAATATTTATAATAAATAGAAAACATATATATATATATTCGACATGTCTAAAATGATTATTTTTTTGTCTAATCCACTGTTATGACATAAAGATATATAATATGTCTATTGCAAGAGACATTCTTGTACATGCTATAAAATATTTATCGAATAATAATTCTGTCTGAATAATTTCATTTTGTTTTTCTCTTGTCTTCGAATTATTTTGTTCTTTTCTCTCGTTTTCTTTTTTTTTTTTTTATGTTAATCTATCATGAAAATAAGAACAACCACATATAAGAGTAAAACTAACATAAATTAGTTACTCTTTTCTTTGAGTTTTGTTGACATTATTGCTGTTATTATTTGTATTGAGAAGTATTATATCTTCTATACAATAACAAAAATAAGATAACCAAGTAGAATATAGAAAAACTATATACTATAGAAAGAGAAAATGACGACGACGGCGACGACATAGATGGATAGATAGACAGACAGACATGGAAAAAGAATATCTTTACTTTTTGATAATAACATTATCATTGTCGCCTCGTTGAGCTATGTCTGTTATTGTTGTTATTACTGTAGTGCAATAGAAATTATTCAGGATGCCAGATAGTTTTATCAATACTTAACTAAGAAACTATCTTCTAGCATTTTCTCCTCCTACATGCTAATGTCATAATATCGATATCTAACATATTTTTTTCTGTCTTTCTCTCTCTCTCTCCCTCGTTTTCTGTTTTCCGTGAACATTGAAGATGACAATCGATGTTTTAGACAACGACCTGTGTTTCATTGCCGATACTTCTGTCATCTTGCAGCTGAAATTGATTGTCTCTACCATCACTCGACATTCTTCTTTCACATCATGTTCTACGAAGAGAATATGGTATGTGTGTGTTGTTTATTCTAAACGAGATGCCACTTTCTTTTTATTGAAGTTGTCTTCTGCCATCAGTTATAGTCATATTAACGAAGTAGAATAGCAGTAGCAGCTGCAGTTGTCATCGCTTCAATAAGACATCCACGTAAATATGTATATATATTTTATAAATAGATAGATATAGAGAGATAGATATAAAATGAAAGATTTGTCCTTTTTGAATATATATATTTCTGTAAATACATTATAGTTAAACTACTAGTTGATATAACAAACAAGAATACAATATATTAGAGAGAGAAAAAAGACAATAGAATACAAAATAGTTGATTTAAAATATAATGCATGCATTAGTTTTAAGCGAGTAAAATATTTTTTATATAATAGTGGAATTTTGATTGACACGAACTATTCATCAGTTTTTACTCGGGTTTACATAATCAAACAGGCTATCTCGACGTGATATATATATATCATCTAGAATTTCTTTGCTGTATCCATCATACTAATGATAACCATGTCATTTCCTTTATTCTACAAGACATAATGATTCTGTTCTTTCTGCATAAAAACTAGACTGATTTTCTTGCATATTTAACTATATAGTATCACATATAACATATGTTAATGAATATATTTTTTCTTTTTTTTAATTTACAATATATTTTTTTTGTCCTCTTCGTTTTTATTTTTATTCTCATGAGAATTGAACCGATCGATTGATACATGCAATTGTTGATAGAGGATTTTCAAATTTCTATTACTAATACTAGTATTTTATTTCATAGTTATAATTATATGCTTCAATACATAATAGGTCTAATGAAGAAGAAAAAAATAGAAAACAAATGTTTTAAATCTAGTAAGATTGATTAGAAAGCATATAATAACAATAATAATAATAACAACAATGATTAAAATAGACAAATAGATTGATGACGTCTTTTGAGGATTATATACAATCATATATTGAACGAGATTGAAAATCAGAAAGAGAAAAATAGGTGATATTTACATAGTATTAACGATATAAAAGTTAGTTGTTAATAATAATTGTATATGTTACTAGTTTTCTTTGTTTCTTCTAGTTGTCGTAGGTTGTAAAAATTATGGAAATTAAAATTTACATTATATAAGACATGATTTATTAAAAGGAAATTATATCTTTGTCAATTGTTGTTTTTTAAATCGACAATCAAGTTATAATTTTTTAACATTATTTTGTTAGCATCATTATCTTTGAAGTTGTTGTTAATAGATGCGGAAAAATTATAAATTTTCACAGGTGTATTTTATCGAGTTTTTTAGACTACACGACCCGTATATTATTAATCAACATTCGTTTTTTCTATTTTCAGTGTCATTCCATTTGATTTCCTCTATATTTAGTAGTTATTCTATACTATCTGTTTATTTTAATCTCTATGAAGATTCAAAACAATAATGTCTTTTGTTTTGATCATATTCAAATGAAAACATGATCGTTTGCCTTTTCCTCGCTGCTTCTTTCTTTCTTTTTTTTGTTATTCTCTGAAATCGTTTGTAATTCTCCGAAGGGTGAGAATATATACTTGTCATTCTATACTATGATCGACTAGCTATGATGATGTAGACAATTAATTTTATTAATGTTCCGCATTCTTAATCATATTACTTAGCGACGATAGCAGCAAAGAGAAAACTTTACGCTTTTCCCGCCTTCTTCTTCTTTCCTCTTCTCTTGTCAAAAAAAATAAGCATTACCATCATCATCATCATCATCACTATCTTCTATCATTACTTTGCATAAGGCAACAGCTGTAAAACAAAACATTTATACATATTATCATGCAAGAAATTGATAAATAACTTTCTTTATACTATTGATAGACAAAAACTAAAAGCAGCTTCGATCTAATCTTTATTCTATTAATTTTTTAATTTTATATCCGGTAAGTCTCCGTTTTTCATCTATATGATTTATTTTTTTTATATCCGGTATTAAAACGAAATACAAAGAAGAAAGTTTGTCCTTGATTATCACTATGAATCTATAAATATTACCATTTGATTTGAATGATAAAACAACAGACTGAGCTCATAGATTTCTTTCTT